TTTAGTCTCCGCTGTGCAGAACAATCAGAAGTGTCCTTCCTGCTCCAATATGGAGTCACTTGTAATGTGAAAAGAATGGGGTAGAGAATGTGAATGAGAAAGACTAATCCAAAAGAGATGGAAATGTACAGATGCGGTAGAGAAGATAAGAGAGAAAGAGAAGGGACAATCATGTAAGTAAAAGGGTTGTTTTGTTCCCTGCTCCTTCAAAGAAGCCAATTGGACCACTACTTTCTGAAAAGAAATACAAAATAATTACACAAATGCCCGTTTCCTTTTTTCCTCCGGGATTTGTAAACTTTGAACTTGTACAGACTTTGTAAAATAGTATGCCCTTACTGGTGAGTACGTCTGAAGCAATGTATCAGCCACATGACGAAGAGCCATTTGTTTTAATGTGGAATGTGCTTGCTCTTTGCCCCAAAATGTTTTGTCCACCATCAAGTCATGACATTTCTGCCATGGTTTCTCATCATTCTAAAATGTTTAATGTATCGTTCAACGTCCAGCTTTATTTCATCTGGTGCGGAAGCCAAGAGCTGCTATAGTTGCTGATGTAATAAACTATACATAAATCACAAACTGATAATTATACCCACAGTTAAGACACCGTTTCTAAATGTAGTCTTTAAAGACTATTCTTTTTGGATAAATCATTTCCTCTAATATTACCCCCAACTTAGTTTAAGGACATCAGGACTCAACATGTTGTTCTGTTCTCTCAATACATTTCAGCTGCTGTTAATAAGAACAGCAGTAAAATGACCTTGTCGTTCTACATGACTGATGAACCACAGGGCTGATGAGTGGGCTAGTTATTGCAAATCATGAATGAAGCAGCTGATGCCAAACAACTATAGCGTGACCTCAGGGTTTGGCCTGAACTAACGCTATGCTCCATTTGGTGGACTATTAATTATAACAAAGCCTTTTTTATTGTCATATTTTAGGTGAAGAATCCTCATCTACAACTGAATAGAATGCCATGATCTAAATGTGATCATGAGAAAATGTATCTTCAGAAAACAAGGTATTTGAGTAGCTATGTGATGAAAAGAAATCTGAAGTAATTATATTAGCAACCACAGCCACTCTTTGCAACAGTCATTTCTTATCTGCTACTGTAGAGTTAACAATCTTTGGCACAAATAATCAAAAGCACCAGCCGACCATATTCTAGTTTATTTTAAATGTTTCATATCAAAGCATTATTCCAAATATCCATATTTTAGCGGCACTGCATTCCAGTTGTGTCTGTTACTTTGTAGCATGTCCACCATGTCTCTAGACAGAAGTCAAACCCTTATCCCGGCCCTAATGGCTTAGTTCCCATGCGGCCTCGTGGACAGACAGCACATGAAACTGCTTCAGATCGTCACTGTATTGTACTCTAATCTGCCTGATCCACTCGGGCATGCAGCTCCTTTGTTCTTTGTAACAGATGTATGTGTTTAAATCTCTGTACATTGTAAATAGCTAAGTTGTTAAAATGCAGATTTTGTAGATACACAATCCTAAACTTCTATTTTGAGTTCTTTCTTTGTTCGACTGTTTGATGTGAATGTGGACACTAAGACTGTGGAATATCAATTATTTCCACATCATTCCTGCCCTTTCACTGACGGACTGAATGCCATTTCAATATTATAGATGAGTTTTGCACAGTATTAAATCCAGAACATATTTGTTTTCTTACTTTTGTTTGTTTTATGTTAATGAGGGAATCGTTTTTGTATATTTCTTTCATCTGGAATGTTTCAATGAATTTATAATGTTCAAAGACATTAGGCAGTGTCAACAACATGTCCCCTATCTGCAGACATTGTGTGTACAAAGTGAGTGCTTTTTTTAACTTTTTATTTCAATGCGGTGCAGACAATAAAAAGGTTCTTGCGCACCATGTCACCTGTCCTAGAATCTGAAAAAAATACACCCGCAAATCCTCACAGCTGCTTACACTCCTCATATTGGGGCGAGGGTTACCTTGTGGTAATACTTTGCATTGCGCAGACTCCCACATCTAACATCCTTAATAAGAATCACAAAGCATCATCATTCACCTACTCCTGTGTTCCAAACCACCAGAGATCAATGTTGTCCTGTCGCTCAATGGGTAATATCAAGTGAAAGAGCTGTGAAGCACAATGGTTACAAACCCTTTTCTATCTTTGAGTCAAGTGACGACCCTTGACTATTGTTAGGTGACATATTGTGTGGATATTTCATATTATATTATATGCATTACATTAACAGCGCCAGTACACATGAAGAACTATAATAATAATAACTTTATTTATACAGCACTTTTCAAAACAAAGTCCCAAAGTTCTTAACTAGATTAAGAACAGGCCGTTCAGGCTGCAACAAAGCATGCGGTCATAATTCCCCAAACCCAAACAAAATATACAGCTTTTCAACCATAGCAGCAGTAATACAAAAAAAGAAAGTAAAACAAATAGAACATGGTTGTCGAGTAAAACAGAGTGTTGTCATCATTGGTTGAAAGCTTGAATAAAAAGGTGAGTTTTAAGAAGTGATTTAAAAGATGTCACTGAGTCTGCCACCCTCTGATTCTCAGGCAGGGAGTTCCAGAGCTCTGACGGAGAACGACCGGTCACCCTTTGTTTTTAGCCTGGTTATGGGAACAGCCAGCAGAGCCCCTCCCGAGGATCTGAGATTGCGCACATGTAGGACGTAAAATATTTTTAGGGTAAAGGGGAGATTGTTATTTTCAATCAGGGGCGTTTCGAGACACTCTGGGGACCCGAGGCAGAAGAGACCTGGCTCCCAACACATCCAGCACCACCCCCCCAACTGAAATTACGAAACTGAAATGATGAAGCTTTTGACAGCGCGCTCTATGACATGTCATTACATGGCAAGAAATGAAAGGGGGTTTCATGTTCTCGTTGCTGTGGACCAATGTAATCGACCTTCTTTGGGGTATTTCCTTGCCTGTTGGCAAGCGGCGCCTCTGTTTTCAATATAAGAATAGGACTAAAAAAGTCATTACGATCATCTGCTGATGACTTAGCTTTATTGCAGAGATTTTACAAATACACCTGAACTACATTTAAGCCGCTCTGGATAAAAGTGGCAGCTAAATAATATGTAATGCGGCATGCAAGATATTACTTCCGTGTGCACTGCATTCTCCACAAAGAAAAAATAGGTTATATTGAGTTTTATATTCATGACATTTTCCAATCATTGGCAAAAAACAATATTTTCCCCATATGTGTTTTTAGTTGTCCAACTGCATCTCCTGGAAATTGAAAGATATAATAATAATAACAACAGCCACCATTCCTGCACTGTCAACCAAGGGTGGACCCTCAACCCTTACAGCACTTTTACCTCTACCTGTTTGATTTCAACCCTAACTAAAGCAAACAATTAAATTATAATAATAATTGTGTTGCTATCCTGCAGAAATGGCAGTGAGTCAGGGGGCTCAAGCAGTAGCAGGGTTGGTGGTTCGATCCCCAGCCCTTGCAGCCAACATGTTGACGTGGCAGGATACCTAACCCCACATTGCTTCCGTAGGCAAGTCTTTATATAAACGCGAAGTCATTCTGTTTGTGTCATGACTGAACATCCACACTTCTCTCCTGAAAAGTCTTCCAAACCAGATTGTCCGCAACATTACAGTTCTGAATGTCCATTTTAGGTTCAACAACATCAAAAAGAACATCATTTAACATATTCTGTTCAGTAAACTTTAATTACTTTTTGAGGTAACACATTATTGAAATAAAAATGCATGCATGCTGTTAGACTATGGAGCTATTTCAGGGTCATACGTTTTGATCATTCAAAAAAAAAAAATACAATTTATTTGAAAGTTCAAGTTTTTATCCTGAACTTTGAAAAATACAATGATGTATTCAAACCAAAAATAAGTATTTTAAATCATTTTTCAGATTGAATATTATTTTTGATTCAGTTCAGCAATTTTTTGGAATAAAATATTTTCAGATTTCACTTGTATAGGCTACATATTTTGATATTTGAATCCTTATTTTTTTCAGTTGCAGATGTTACGTTTTCAGGTTTCAAATCTTGTTTTTTTAGGTTTCACATTGCTTTTCACCTTCAGAACGTTTTTCACTTTCAGATCCTTTTTTTTTGCAGATATATCAGATATATGCACAAAATGCACAGAATCAAGGGGAACATTGTTTCACTGTATTTGGCAGTGCAGAAAGATGAATGTGTTCTGGGAAGAGGTACGAGGTACAAATAGAGAAAATCATTTCAAAGCAGATTTGACTGGATCCAAAGTGTTTTCTGTTGGGTATATATAAAGCATAAATATAGTAAACATGAGTGATCATTCATAGACCTCAGCTTGCTCTACGCCAAAACCTGTATTGCAGTTTTTGGAAAAAGGCTCACAGCCCAAGCATCACTCATTGGTTGGGACTGATGCTGTCAGGACTCCCATTGAGAAGATATCCTAGACAGGGGTAGACATTAAGGGTAAAAGGGTAAAAAAAAGGTACTACTCGCCCTCTGGGCCAGTAGATTTTCATTATCACTGGCCCCACCATTGTAACCACTGGCCCAAGAGAATTTGTCCAAAAAAATCGACTCTAATAATGAAGAAAATGAACACATTTATTGCAATAGTAATTTATTTACAAACTACATTACTACTATACTACAACATTTCTATCGTCAGTTCTTCCTCATTTTCCTCCTCGGTCGGTTGATTTTGCCGTCCTCCTGATGACCAGGCTGTAAATCCTGGACGTCTGGCTCTTGACCCCGACTGCCACCACTGCAAAACAGCTCTCTTAGCATCAAAGGTATCCAGACTAGGCCCTTCAATGGTCAGGAACATGAGACGAGTGAGATTTTGGGTCGACAGTGAGGACCTCCAGTCGCTCTTCACCCTCTTCATGCAAGAGAAGCCTCTCTCACATGCTGCGGTACTGACAGCCATTGTTAGGTAGATCTGGGCAAAGATGCCTAGGTTCTTAAACTTGGTCTGTAGATCACCTCTGGAGTATTTCCAGGAGAGTGTCTCTGAGGGGCCCATTCCGCATTCTTGCCCAGATTTTATAGAGCCTGTACACTCCCAACACCTCAGTGACTGTGGTCCCCTCACGCACCAGGATGCTCTGGTAATGGTGGCACAGGGACTCAATATTTGCTCGTCCATGGAGGACAAAGGCTTCTTTGGACTCATCTGAGTTGTCCAGTTTTGGCCACACATTATGATCAAGAGCTGAGAATGTTTGCACAATGCTCTCGGTAGACAGCAGGTCTCCCAGACGGCTCTCAATATGTTTGGTAAGCATGTCTGTAATTTTCTTCCTGTCTGTAGCCAGTGTGTCTGTGGTGGTGTTTTTGAGCTCTACCCCTCTATAGGTGCCATTCATTGCATCAGCCAACATCTTCCTTTGCTGCTCTCCGGGCTCCAGACACAGCTCTGTAAGACCATTGAGGCAGGCCTCAATGTACTGCACTGCCTCCCCTGGCGTCAGACTATCCTGCTGAAACTGGAGGCTCAGTGCCTTGAGAAAGTCCAGTGTATCCAGCAGGAAGTGCATGAACTGGACATTGGTGTGGCTTTTGAGGTAGTGGAGGATGTTCTTTGCCCTTCCCATCACTGCAGGTGAAGGTCGGGTTGTCCTCTCTGGGCTGACCTGGTCCTCAAAGTGGGCCACAAAGATTGCATAGCTATTACACAGGATCTGTGTTGCCTTGTGGATGTAGGGCAACCACCTGGCCCCCTTCAGGTTTGTAGGCTTGAGGACCTTCTCCTCCATTGCATCTGCCAGCATCCTCAGCTCCCTCAGTGCCTTTGGAGAGTAGTGGTATTGCTGATGCAAATATTGCAGCACCTCCTGCAGCTGCTTCAGCCTCTGATTCTCTTTTATTGAATCCACCAGACCTAATTCCAGCCTGTGTGCCACACAGTGTATAGCAAGCAGGTGTCCAATCTCTTCCTTCAGCTTTGCAGCCACACCATTCCTCTTCCCCAAATTGACAGCCGCACCATCAGCGCAGAGGAAAACCACCTTTTCCTTCCAGTTATCCAGACCTGCTTTTTCAAACACTGTCTGTACTGCAGAAAGTACACCATCTGCATGTGCGTGTTTGACATCCTCAATGCCAAGGAAGGACTGAACCACTCCTCTCTCCTTATTGAAGAACTTGACATAGACAATCTCATTCTCAAGGTTCCCAGTATCAGTTGCCCCGTCAATCATCACACTGATATAGCCTGCATTCTTTAGGTCAGAAAGCAGTTGCTCCCTCTCCACATTGTAGATATCAATTGTGAATCTGAAGGTAAAAAAAGGGAATTTCATTAATAATGAAGGAATTGTAAAAAGTTAATTAAATAGTCAATTTGGAAAGTACAGTATTAATGTATTTGTGATTCTCACCTTAAACATGCCTTGTCTGACAAGTAACAATTGGTCATGTTGGAGCCAGTCCTACTGTTGAGCTGCACCAGGTCCGGAAAGTCAGTAAATGGCTTTTCTTTCTTGACAACATAGTACGCTGTATGAAACATATTCTGCATTCTATCCTGGAAACCTGCATCTATTTCACCATTAACATGAATCCCAGCTAACACAGCGGGTGTTTCGATTGCTGCCTTCTGCCTCCTCACACACACCTGGTGTGAGGTGCTTTTGTCATGCGGTTCAAACCCTGTGGAGCATTCTGCTACCTGGCCCTTGAAGAGTGGAGAGTCCATAAACAAGCAAAACAATCTGCTGCTTAAATATCATATGTACAGTGGCGTTTCTAGGTGTACAAAACTGGGGGGGCAGAAAGAGGTCGGGGAGAGAGAGGAGAGAGAGAGGGGGGGGACAGAGAGAGGGAGGAGAGAGAGAGGGGGGACAGAGAGAGGGGGGGAGAGAGAGAGAGGGGTAGTGTCAAATTACATACTGAAGACCACAGGAGCAACACTGTGAGCGCATACATTTACTTACACAGCGTGGGGATGTCATAGTAATGCACCTTCATACATGGAGTAAAGGTCACCATCACAAAGTAATTCTTAACAATAACAACAACCGTAATGCTTTAGCATTAAAACACCATAGACTTTAAATATAAGGAAAACACAGACACTCATCATCGAGGTCACAATATCAATCGATCCAGCAGAGGCAAAACACAGAAGATCAACAAAATATATGACATAAATGAACTTACCAAAGCTGAAGGCTCACTTGAAAAGAAAAGCGGCACGGCGGTCCTTCCTCTGACAGAATGTGTCTATCACTTTGGGGATGAAGTCCTGTAGTTGCTGGATCAACTGGCTTTCAATTGAAAGCATGGCCAATGCGTTAAGTCGCGGCTGTCCCATGGTGTTGCGAGTGAAAGTCTTTATCCTTTTGAGGGTGGAAAAGTTCCTCTCTGACTCGGATGTCGTCATCGGAGTTGTCACTATTATTTTGACCAAAATAACAGTCTCAGCAAACGTTTCCTCCAAGTTGTTCTCGTGAATGGATTTCAACAGAGACAGGGCAGTGTTTCCAGTGTGAAGCTCACTGTGGCGGTAGAGCGTGGTCAGCTCAGACTTCAACTTCTCCTTGTTTCCCAACGCAGGCCAGTTTCACGGCGCAGTCAAGCTCAGGTGTAGGAAATGACAGGACATGCTGTGGGAAGAATGAGCTGTCAACAAGCTTTGCAGTGATCAAATGGTCACTCTGTGAGAACCTCTGTTCCACCTGTGAGATGACTGTGTCACAAGCCTCCTTCATCACCGGCGCTGTGCTGCTGACTCGTCGGCCTGGCTCGTCTGTTCCATCATGAGCAGTGGCGGCCAATGCATCAGTTTTCTGCCTCATTTTCTGAACATTTTCCTTGAAACGGCAGAGCGCGCTGTTGATCCCAGGTGCATCGATGCTTCGTTTTTGCAGAGTGTTGTATAGAACATCCACTTCTGGCATAAGCAACGAAAAAAACTCCAGGAGCTGCATAAATGCTCGGTCCCGCAGTTTCTTTGACAGGCCGTATGCCTCACTTATGGTGACCGCATCCCATCCTGGTTGTGCGCGTATATGCTTCATACACTGAAGCAGTGCTTCTCGGGTCTCCCAAACGCGTTCACAGTTCTGCTTTTAAAGTTCCATCTCACAGCCGGTGGCCGTGGGATGCGTCTCTGTGTTGCCTCTGCAAGAGCTGCAACACGTTTTGGAGCACCGGAGAAAAAAGTGGAAAAAGCAGTTAGATCTGCAAAAAACACCTTCAGGATGCTCATCCTTGCTGAACACAGTTGCTGCAGGGTCAGGTTCAGTTGGTGGGCGTAGCAGTGAACAAACTGAGCGTTTGGGTACGTCTCCTTCATCACCGTCTGTACCCCGCGCACGTTACCCGCTCATGACGGCCGCCCCGTCATAGGTCTGAGCGATTAGCTTTTCTTTCAGCTTCAGGGGTTCCAGAACAGCCTTGATGCTGTTAGAGAGACCTACACCAGTTTTGTCCTTTACTTCCACAAACTCCAAAAAACGCTCTGTAACTGTGAGGTCAGGCATAATGTATCGCAGCACAATCACCATTTGCGATTTACAGGAGACATCGGTTGTCTCGTCGGCCTGAACGGCAACAAATGATGTGTTGTCCACTTGCTTGGCTATTTCCTCCCTGTACACATCATACATGCAGTCCAAGAGTTCATTCTGTATGGTGCTTGATGTCCCTTTGAAAACAAGCTGAGCTTCGTAGTGCCGTTGAAGCCTGGAATCGCCCTCACACATTGTCTCGAAAATTGACCTGAATATCCCTGGATTCAGAGAGTCCGCCGACTCGTTGTGGCCCCGCAGTGCTGTCTCACATTTCCCACACAGTTTAATACAGGTGATGATCCGACCAAGCACGTACCTGTTTTCTTCCACCTTCCTATTATGAGAATCAATGCCGCGTCTGTAGGCGCTGTCAATCTGAGCTGCAACATTCACCCTTCCAAGTAATCCCAATTTTACGGCATTTTCCAAATGACTGTTGCTGCTCTCATGCTTCATTGTCCTCTCCGAAAGATGCTTTAAATCCTTGTAACCTGTCCTCGACCAAGTACCTTGATCTTCACCAAAAAGCAGGCAAGGAAAGCAAAAGAGGGAATTCTTCTGGATGCTCGCCGTTAGCCATTTCTTTTTAGCAAACCACTCAGCGTTAAACCCACGTTTAACTTTGCCCGCAGTCTGGACCATTTGGAAATCCGGTGGATGGTGGGCACCGAGGCGCTTTACCTCCAGTTTCTCTCCGAGACTAAGTGTCTCAAATGTGTGCTCCAGTAAATGGTCAACTTCATTCATTTTCTTTCAGTTTTTTACTTCTTTTAATCGCTGGTGATGTTAGCTATATGCTGCTCTCTCGTCTCCTCTTCAAACTACACGTGACGTTTCGCAGCACTGCACACGTGAGTACTTACAGCCAATCAATTCTGAATTATGTGAGATGACGTATGGTGGGGATGGGAGCACTATGCCCCTACGGTCATTATTTTTTTGCCACACACATTAAATAGAAAAATACTCTGAGCATGCGCAGTGTAGTTTTTACAATCACCGTTCACTTAGACTGTGAGAGGGAGGGGCAGGATCGGGTTTTGTCCCACATGGCTCTAAACAGCCCAAAACGGCACTCTAAACACTAATTAAAAGAACACAGACTAAAACAGAAATGTACAGACGAATCAGATTATTAAACATGACCTTAAAATATATTTTATATGTTTTTTTATTTATTTTTTAGTATTTTTTTGTAATCATTATTTGTAATACTTTCTTCTGACACTAGGTGGGGCTGTGCCCCACCTGCCCCTAATGATCCGCCGCCACTGCATATGTAAATAGCCACTAGCTAGCCACTAACTAGCTAGGCCTACTATACATTTCTATAAAGCAATTGTTCATATTTGGTTTATTAAAATAATTATATTGTGGTCATTTTAAAAATAAAATAAAAAGGAGGGGGACACTATGGTATGAGTATTATTATTTGTATAATGCGCTTTCTGCCTTCCTGTCATTATCAGGAGTTAGACATGTAATGGCTATAATATATTAGCCTCTAGCCTTCCTTGTCCTAAACTGCTGGGACATTTCCCTATAGCGAATATACCATAATATTTTCTACTCTTCACTTACTTGTCAGCATAGGTCGGCATTGATGTACAGAGCCGACAGAAGACCTTGTTTATATTGGCATCATATTCAAGCCAACTCCAACGATGAAGCCAGTGTGCCTGAAACGTTCTCTCCCTCTTCTTCTTCTCGTACTCCCTGTCACTCTCCTTTAACTCCTCCGGTGACTTTCTTTTATTTAAGGACTATTTTTTGCACGGCGCTTGGCCGGTTACTGGTGGTTTTAAAAACATTTTGCCGAATGGTTAGGTGGCGCGAAAGTCTGTAGTGAGCGCGCAGCGCGAGCAGGCTCGAGCTGCGCGTGCACGGGCCTACTCCCGCTGCACGCGAACGAGAGCCTGCTCGCACTGCGCGCTACTCCGCAACAAACAGCTGCAGAGTAGAGCGCGATGTTGTAGCGTTAATAAACGGAACAATCTAACAAAATTGCTTGTCAAAATACCAATATCACAGAACAATGTGAATGTATGTCTTACTGTTTTTAGTGGCCCGATGAATAGATGTATTGCCGGCACAGTTTCCGAGATTCTTTTTTGCATAATGTTTTCAAATGATTGCCTTGTATAATACAGATGAAGCATGTTTGTTGATATTTCATTTTTTTATTATTGTTATATAACAATTAAAAGAAAAACATTGTGGGAAAGAAAAACACTTGAAATATGTTACTAGAATAAAGTGTGCAAAGCACTTTTTTATCCAAAGAAAGCTACATTAAAAAAAAACAACTCCCCTGATTTAAAAAACTGAAAACAAAATCTGATTTCCTGTATACCTTAATAAAAGGCAAGAAATAGAAGTATGAATGTGCCATTAAAGGGATAAGTGGTGTAAAGACAATATCCATGCAATCATGTACGTCTTTGTTCAGAGACGGATGTCCTCTACCTGCTTTGTGTGGATATAAAAGCTGCCGTCCGTCCATTGTAGCACTTCAAACAGCAACTTACTGAACAGGTGGAATCAGAGCATCAGAGAAGACAAGTCAACAGCAGACACAATCAGTAAGTCATTTAATGGTGAATATTTTAAGGATTTAAATGTAGTTTTACAATATAATGAAATGTAACAATATTCATAATAATAATATAATACAAAATCACTTTTTTTGTTGCCATGACAATCTTCCTTGCTCGTGTATTTTTTTCTGCTACATATTTGAAAGTGTTGTTAATTGTTTGTTTCATTGTTGTGTGCGTACAGCTGAATTGTATGGTTTTAACTAAAACGTAAAAATAATGCTAACAATCTATTCCAGAAACTGTGTATGGTAAAAACAATAACTTTGGTAGAGTTGTAGCGTTTAACAGTGAAAAAGATAGCATTTACAACTAATAGAGTATTTCTGTCTCAAATGTTAGTCTTGAAAAAATAAAATTATTTTAGTACATGCTGAGTTACACTGCATTTTTGTAATTTGTAATTT